TATTGAGGTGTGCACATAAATTGGCATATTGTCATTGCTGAGAAGAGTCTAGTCTCTAGCTTCAGTTGGTTCAGAGGAAGGAGAAAAAACATCTAAACCTGTGAAAAAGGCCAGGTCTGCTTTGACATGCTTGATATATACGACAGTGTGGAAAGGACTTCAGAATGATACTTGGTTCTAATTTATTTGTTCTAGAAGGATTAAGTGTGCTGTAAATACATATAGGAAGGGAGCATGTAGGGGGTTAATCTATATTCAGAAAACAAATAGTGCAGTGAGTATATACAGGCATATGTTTGTGGATGCTTTTAGAAAGGGCTGGCATAAAGTTAAAGTCCTGAGAACAGTGCTATTGCAAGCAGAATGACACAGGAGAAAATTTAAGATGATACTGTTTTTCCTCTGGCATTCTCTTGTAGAGATCAGAAAGGCTCTTATGCTGGCTGTGCAGATTAATTCAAGATTTACTACTTTTTAATACCACTTTATCTCATAAGGTGGTATCTTTCTTGGTCCAGCTTTTGTATGCAAGGAGATTAGAAGGTAAGGAGCTGGTATGAGAGAGCGAAAATACTGTAAGAGTATTGCTGTTTGTGGCAATTCAGTGTTCACATTAAGAAGGCATTATGGGTGAAGGTGTTGCTGAACTTAAGACAGATGAAGGCCTTGCTTCACCAGGTCGTGCAAAACAGTGCACTTATACAAATAGGTCATTTGTTGCCTCATGCTTGTACGTAACAGAGTAAGAATGCTAGAATACTTTTGTTGCCTTACTTTGACAACGTGGTGGAAAACTGTGTGGTGTGCTTCTTTACTCATTTTAACAAACAGTTGTCTCTCCAGGGTGAGTGTTTCTACCATACTACTGCATCAAGACTGAACGTACTTGTTTGCTATGAAACCCTGATTCTCCTCAGCTTTTTATAAACAACACCGACACGGTCTTTATCTCTTTTTTTATTTCATTTATAAGTATCAGTGAACATTGGTATTGACAGGATTTTCCTCATAGAAATCTCTAATACGTGAATTTAAAAAAAACCAACCTGTTTCACCTGATCAACAAGCCCCCAAGAATTATCTTAATGAAAGACAATGAAACTACTTCTTCTGTTCTTGATTTCCTGCAACAAAAGTTGTTCTGCTTCTTCAGGGCTGACGACACTGCCCAATGTCATTGTGATGCCACCCTTGATTTGAAAGGCCATAGGAAGAGGCCTGTGGACTGGGAGACAGCAAATATCACACCTGTGTACAAGGAAGAAGTACAGGCTGGTCAGATTTGCCTTCATCTCTGGGAACGTGACAGAGAAAATAATCTTGAGTGTGTTTCTGAACATAAGAAGGGCAAGAAGGTGATTGAGAGTACTCGGGATGGATTTATGAAAGGAAACTCTTTCCTGATCAACCTGATAGCCTTCTATGAAAAGGTGACTGTGTGTGGAGGGTGTGGGTGTTACATGTTTTGACTTTAAAGAGGCTTTCAGTGCTTTTCCATGATACCCTTATTGACAACATCCTGAGGTACAGGCTAGATAGTGAGATGGACTGATAATTGGCTGAGCTGTCAGGTCCAGGCTTGGCAGTGCAATCACAGGAGAGTGATTAGCAGTGATTGGAATTGCTTTCTGTTCTACAGTAGCTACCTACTAAGCGTCTCCATTTTCTGCTATTCCTTGCAGTACTCACGCAAAGCATGTCTGAATGAAAGTTGCCTTTTTGTAATGCAGGCAAGGTTTAAAATGTGGTTGTAGTTCCTCAAGATAGTAGAAGTGTCTATGAAACGTTGGTAGAAGGAGCTTTGTTGGAAACAGTGACATGTTTCAAAAGCTAAATAGCACGGAAGCCTTCATGATAGTAGTGTGGTGAATCTGAGTGCTTGAATGCTTCTCTTATTCAGTGACAAACCATAATGCTGTTCTAACTTCAACATTCTGAAGTAGTTTATGAAAATTCTTTCATATCATTTGAAGTGCCTTGAAAAAGTTTCTTCAAGCTAACTGTCACACATTATTAAGATCTGGTGCTGTCTGGAAATCTCAATTATTTCAGAATTGGAAATTATGAATGGTTAGGATGAAAGACAAGTTTACCAGACTTTGGGATGTCTATGCTTGAAAAAGTCGAACTAACTAAAAGGATGCTGATTGCTTACTTTCTGTATCTGCATTCCCTCGCCTTTTTATCTCCATGAGTTTGAATTATTGGCCTACAGCTACAAGTTCACTTACAAGGAACTGATCACAATAACAACAGTTGATAGTTTCAAGGGTATCTGGGTTGTTCTGTATCACAAATGTCAGATCTTGTATGCGAAAGGTGTGGAAGGTTGCATTACTTTGGTCTGTGTACTTCCTAAATATTGTTAGAGAAAAGTGGTACTGTGTTACAGGTGCATTCCCTATTTATTTATAAATAGTAACAGTTATGAAATTATAAACTAATTTCTAGAACAACCATAAAAATGGTGAGTATATATATACACACATATTTAGCATGGCCTACACCTGTAATACAGAAGTTTTCATTACATATTGGAAGAGAGCATTTTTGCTTCTGTAAGGGTTTGGGATTCCACTGAACACATACACATCAGTGTTTCCTTCTTGTTTGTGGGAGGGATTTTCAATCAAGAGGTGCCATTTAACACTATTGGGTCAGGTGTGTTAGAAAAAGGACAGCTGCAGAAAGGAAAAAAAAAAAAAAACAACCAAAAACTACCAATGAATACTGATGATTTTTTACTGAAGGCTGCAGTGGCTGGCCAGCCACTCTGAAGATAAATTCTGTTACAGAGTGTAACACAGAGGGCTGAGTATATGGGTAGCAGAAACAACAACTTGCTGCTGTTCTTACATCTTTGAAGTCATCCTACGACCTGCCACTGTGCAAGGAACATGATAGGACTTGCTGAGAACAATTAGGAACAATTCTATACTGACCCAGAGGATGCTGAGGGAGTAAAGAAAGAGACCAGACTGCTGTACAAAGCAGCGACTTTCCTGAGCAATTTCTTCCTCCGGTACAATGTTTACATTGAACTTCAGCTTGGTTCAGTGGTGCAAGAATAACATCTGCAAAGAACTGCAGGAGCTGACAAGTTATTTCTCTCATTTTCTTACAGCTGAAGTTCTATCTTTCATGTTGCTCGCTAGGTTAACTGATTATAAGTGAGATGTCAGTAGGATTGCTTCTCCTCTTTCTGCAAAGCTAGAACACCTCTTCAAGTGTATGGGACTTTCCTCCTTTTCACAGTCTCCTACAGCTCTCAGGACAGTTGTCTTCTAGCTGAAAGTTTATAGGATCTTGAGTAAGTGACAGTGAAGAGGAGATGAGACAGTTTTAAAATTGAACTTATGCAGGGAAAGAACTGAAGTCTTGGTGTAGGTTGCAAGGCTGTGTAATCTCCTTGAAAACTTGATGAAGCCTCAACCTCTGTCTGAAGCTGATGTCACCTCCTAAGATCCCTCCCAGCTTGAATTATTCTGCATCTAGAAGCAGAGGGAAAAGATCAACCAAGAATTCAACAAGAAGAAAGGTAGTCATAGTGCTAAACAGAACTGGTAATTTGTTCCACCCAAAGTTGTTTTGATGTGAATTGGAAGTGGACTTAATCCAATTTTTTTAATGTCTCAAAAGAGGAAATACTGCAATTGTATTCACCAATTCAGCAGTTCTCCTCTCAACAGTTTTCATCTATACTAATGGAGGTGTAGCTCTGGCTTCTCTTTTGGAATAGATGGCCTATAGTGAAGCTGCAGGGGTTGCTACTGTCATCCACAGATAATTAAAGACATTGTGGAACAAACGCTGGAGAGCAGGTGAATAAAGAAATAAGGAAAGGTTAAGCTCTGCTGTCATCCTGACTCATTTCCTCCCTGTGTCAATTAATATTTAGGCACTGGGCTTCAGTGTTTCCATACGGAACTATATCACTTTGGTGTAGCCTATCATAGTATAAATTAGTTAAATATATGCAGGTAGCATGCATATGCACCGGGTGTGACCGGCGTGGTGTGTACATGCTTAACTGGGAGCAATACAGCCAGATTTCTGCCCCGGCAAATTATTGATACAAAGCTCCTGTGACAGCACCAGCAGGAGACTCGCCTTTTGGGATCCTCTGGTTTGCTGTCCGAATAACATTACAAGTGACGGGAGCCTCAAGCCCTCCCAGGTACAGAGCAAGATAAGGCCTGCAGCTGCCACAGTCCCAGGGGTGCCCTAGCGCCAGTGCTGTGCTGAAGGAATGGCAGAGCCCGGGCCATCTGCAGGGGGCAAGACGCTGTGGTTTTTCTCATTACAGTTATATATTTTATTTCTAAAAGAGATTTGTTGGTGCTTGAGCTTGGCTGAAGATTGACTGTGCAGCCTGGCGCTGTGGTGTTTCTCCCACCGGCACAGCTGCATCTGCTGCTGATTTAACAGGGCACGTAAGGAAGCAGTTTTTTTCAGGGTTGCTCTTCGCTTTGGGAGGGCTGGAGGATGAAGGGCTTTACACGATAGAAAGACGGAAATAAACAGTTAGAAAAGGGAGAACAGTTATGATGTCAAAAAGCTGCGGAGGGTTTCAGTCGAGGAGATGAAACGGAACCGGGGGATGGAGAAAGTGAAGGGAAATTTAAACGGGTTGCGATAATTCAGCTACCGAGCGAACGCCGCCTCCGAGCGGGCAGGCTTCCCCACGGCCGCCGCCGGCCCGCGGCGCTTATCCCCGCGGCTCACCGGCTCCAGGCCGCGGCCCGGCTCCCGGGGTGCAGAACCGCCGGCCCTCCTCCGCTCCCCTCAGGGCCCCGACGCCGGCCCCAACGGTCCCCGCGCGGCCCGCCTCGCCCCGCGCCCGGCCTCTGACCCTCGCGGGCCGCCCCTGATTAGCCCGCTCCCGCCGGAGAGGGGGGCGCGACGCGGCCTGGCGGCCAATCAGCGGCCGGGGCTGCCCCGCTCCGCCCGCCCCCTCGGCGAGGCGGGCGCTGGCGGTGGGGGCTGCCGGGGCGCCGGGGGCGGCGCGGCGGGCAGCGGGCGCGGGCAGAGCCGCGGGCACCACCAGCGACGCCGCCGCCGCCAGCGCTGTCGGGCGGATCCGCGCTCGCCGCTTTTGCCGCGTGACTTTGGCAGCGCGCCGCGGGGACATTATGCCGAAGAGAAAGGTAACGCCGGGTCCCGCCTCGCCTCGTCCCCGGCCGCCCCGACCGCGGCACGGCGCTGCCTGTTGCGGGCCCCCCGCTTCCCCCCGCGGCCGCCGTCCCCTCTCGGCTCGGCTCGGCTCGGCTCTCCCGGGGCGGCGTCGCCCCCGGCGGAGGGGGGGGGGATGCAGAGGGGGGGGAACGAGGCGGCGGTCGCAACTCCCGGCCGGGGCGGGGGAGGCGGCGCGGCGCTGCGGGAGGAGTTTCCCGCTGCCAACTCCGGGAGGCGGGGGGCGAGCCGCGCTCGGAACGGGCCGCTCCCTTCGCACCTCCCCACGTACGCGCCTACCGCCGGGCCGTTCCCGCCCGCCCGGGGTCCCCCGGTCGCCCGCGGTCGCGGCTCCACGCCCCGGGGGCGGGCGGCAGGAGGCGCTTCCCGGGGGAGCGGCCCGGCGCCAGCCCGCCTCCCCCCCCCCCCCCGCTCTGGGGGCCCCGCCGGGGCTCACGGGCTGCGAGGAGGGCGCCCGGGGGGACGGCGGCGCTGGGGCTCTCGTCGAGGGCTCCTCCCCGTGGCGGGGGCTCGGCCGTGCGCGTCGTTAATAGATAACTGCGGCCCTGCCTGTCGAGTGGGTCAGCCCGAGAGCTTTGTCGCGGATGGGGGTCCACGGATAGCCCTACGGCCCGTCAGCACACCTCTAAATAAAGCTACAGGTTGATGATGCCTGCAGAGCCTTTCAGTTCTCCTTGTGTTGTGGGTGATGCTAACGTGTGAGGCAGGCACCTGACTTATTCAGCCCCAAGTCAGCAGCCCGGTCCCAGCCGTGCCAGGGGGGCTGATCCCTGTGCCCCACCCCACCCTGAAGCTGGAGTATGTGGGGCTTTCCTTCTGCCTTTCTGCCACTGCACCTTTGCATAGGCCTTGTGTCCTTCTGCGCTCTCTGTACTGCTGCTCGTTGTAGGAAAAAGTTGAAGAAGAGCCTGTGCCTATAGGGTGACGCAGTGCAACTCTGAGAACCTTGCTGCCTTCCCATGCTGTTTCCTTCGCCTGTGTGTGAGCTCGCTGGTAGGGCTGCAGGCCGGCCCTTCTCAGAGTGAGCTGCTCCTGTAGGGTTTTATTGTCCACGGTGAAATGTTTGTTCAGACAAACTTTGTCTGTGAGTAACAAGTCCAGGAGAATATGTCATTCTTAGAAGGCTATTAAAAAATTTTATGTGTGTGGTTGGAGTGATGGAGATGAAGCGTGTTCAGTAAATGTGAAGCTATATATAAATTATGGAGTTGGGTGAAGCAGTAGTTCCAGGAAGTGGAACTTCATTGCTTTTTGAGAGAAATGGAATTGCCATCAGTGTCCCGCAGTGGTCACTTCCATTCAGAGTAGCAGGGCAATGGGCAGATGGCATGGTGATGGCTGGGTATGGCATCGCCATGTATCCATGTGGGGACAGAGCCATTGCTGCCACTAGCAGCAAGTTCTAGTAAAGCACAGTTTTTAACTCATAAAGAGACTGCTAATCCCAATGGTTTTGTTAAGGAAGAAAACTCAAAAATAAACACGAGAAAATCTCAGTTATGGCGGTAAATGAATAATGGTGCAGAAGGGCATGCATCTGCCTGCTCCTGTTTTTGTTTGGATGCCTTAGTGACTTAAATGGCTACTCCTTCCTTTTTGCTTTTCTGTCCATCTCCAAATATTTTATCTCTTTGCAAACTTCAGTCAGCAGCTGCATCTCTGGGTGATGCTCGCTGTGAACATGACGACTGGTGACAGCAAGTTGTCCCTGCTGGGAGGCTGTGGCATTGCGATGGGTGTTTCACAGGTCCGTGAGTTCATGGATGAAAGGAAAACCTTCCTGTATTCAAGTGGTGTAAATGCTGCTCTTGGACAGAAGAAGGTTGAATTCTGGACCCTTCCTGACAGATTTCTGCACTCTATGTGTGTTGTAATGGTGTGTTGGGATGTTATATTTCACAAGAAGGATGGCACGTCAGTGTGGGATAAACCACAGTTCTTGTTGTGGTATCAGTAGTGTGAACACCCTGGCATGGGTGGATGTGGTTTGTTTTGTTGCCTGTGCAACTGGAATCAGTTCTTGGGTCATATTGCAAACCTTCTCAACCTTGAAACTGTATCAGTAAAGATGGCTCTGCGTTAGCTGGGAAGAATGAACCGTAGAATCGCAGAATGGTTGGGTTGGAGGGACCTTAAAGGCCACCTGGTTCCAACCCTTTGCTATGGGCAGGGCTGCCATGCACCAGAGTGAGGAGCTGTCCTTCACTCTTGTGAAGCTTTAATGTGTTCAGCAGAGAGACGAGTGGTGCTTGCACCTCTAAGTGCACTGTTTATATGGGATGTCAGTAGGCCAAGTGGTTATGTGTCTCTTGGTTTGGGCCTGTTGGTTTGGGGCTGCACGGCAAAAGGATCCAGTTTGTTAGTCCACTTGCAAGCACCGTGACCTGTGCCTCGTATGTTGCTCTGAAAGCTCTTACAGTTGAATGATGTGAGGACTTGATCCAACATTATTTGTTTTTTATAACATCTTTGAAGTTTGTTGTGGCTTCAGAGCAAATAAAAAGTAGTACTGGGATCTAATTCACACTTTTGTAACCTATCTGCTCCCTTGTAGCCAAGGACGTTAGCTTCTGAAGTGCAGTTGATACTATGAAAACAGACAACATCTGCAGCAGGTTCCAGATCTGTTATGCAAACCTGTTTTCTCCAAAGTCAGTGCATGTACCCAGCTGGTCTCTGTGCAAGGAAACTAGAACTTCTGAATGCTGTGCTTGGAATGCTGTTCCTGTAGTAGAAGTTGGAAGGTGCCGTACTTCATGCTTGTCCAGTGGTAATGCATTTATTTGCATGATCCCATTATATTCCCTTTTTGCAGGACTCTTACCTTACCAGTTTGTTCATCAACCAGGTGTCTCTTCAGTGTATTTTCTAATCCTTGTGTTTTGGTGCAGGTTCTCGCATACTAACCTATATAGAATGTTCCGAGTTGGAAGGGACCTGTAAGAATCATTAAGTGTGTATTTTCCTCTGGACCTTAACTCAGTTCTCCTTGTGAAATTCTTCTTGGTGTTAGAATTTGTTTCTGAAGTGTTGCAAATCTTCTAAGAGGAATGTAGTCCCTCTTCTGCTGAAGGGGAAATGGAGCACAAAAGTAAGTGACCAATGGTCCTTTCATATTAGATGCTCAGTTTAAGATGTCTAAAGTGAAATGGCAACTTCCCCCTTAACAAACACTGCTTACGTGCTCTGGGTGATGCAATTGTTCTCAAAACTTGTTTTTTTGCTTTGTGGCCTGCACAAAAACTGAGGAACTTGCACCTGATGTCTGATTCTCTGAGATTTTGTTGGAGCAACTTGTCTGTGACTGAACACCAATCAGCTGATGAAGCCCAGCATTCTGCAATGCAACATGGTGTGTTTTCAGCTAAAGTTGTCTTCGTTTTGAAGCTGCTAAGTGGGGAAGAACCTCCAGTGGTGACAAAAGGATTTGCACCTTGCTGTCATCATCACTGGACTTGGAAAGCTCCTGGTCTGTAACTGAGGCCCTTGGTTCATCCTAGAATACATCAACAGGACATGGAGACAGGGAAATGTGTGGCTTGTGTCATGCTCTGGAAGTGATTACAGACTGCAGGGACAAGGGGAATCAGCAGCAGATGCTCATGTCTTGGCTGCTGCCCGCTCCCTTCTGCCCCTGTTCTCACTCCAGACTTTACCTCCGCATTTTTCTTTCTCTCCAGACTGACTGCGTTTTCCTTTCTCCTTCTTCTACCTGGGGGCTAAGAGAAGTCAGAGCTCTGAAAAGGTGATTTCTTTTCCATTTCCATGTTAGATCAATCCTAGACCAGAAACTGCCAGAAGACAGGTGAGACAGCATCAGAACGAGACCTTCTTCTGATCCCCTGGCTTTGGGCAACCCAAATTGAAAAATTCCTGCACACCAGCAGAGCCCTGGGGTGAGCTCCCACCTGTGGCCTCCTCTGCAGGGACAGGCCAAGTGCTTGCTGTGCAGTCAGAGGTGCACCTACATGCCACCAAGATGCAGAATGGAGGTGCCGGAGCATTTTAAAGGATTGCAGGATTCTTCTAATACAAGGGAAAAAAAGATCTTTTGTAGCTTTTCAGTGTTAGGAGTTGTAGCACTTATACTGAATTTGTAGCCACTGAAAATTTAAAACTTGATGTGTTTGGAGCAAATTGCTGATTGGCCTGCTCCAGGTTTGACTGTCTTAAAGGGTCTAAACTTTCATATAAATAATTAGGCAAAAAAGAAATGTTTATGTCTGCCTATGGTACACTTAGATGGAATACAATGTAGCAGTGTTGAGTAGCACTGGAAAAAAAATAAAATATGCTTGAGTAAAGCTGCTGTGCCACATTGCAATAAATGATATTGCAGGGCTAATAAATACCTAATAAATACCAATGTATATTTATCAATGATTTATTTAAAATAGCTTATAAAGAGATATATTAATGTAATTTTAACTATGATTGGGTTTTAGAGTTATGATGTTTATAAACTCATCGACCGAGGCTTTATAGATGTAAAATGTTTGATTGCTTTATACAATTCTGTAAAAATCTGACTCACTTAGTAACAATTGGTGACAATGTATATAAATTTTCTTCTAGATTATGTTGAAATGCAACTGGAGTTAATGAATGAGCATCCTCAACGTTTTAGATTGTCACTGAATTACCGATTAAAAGTCATGATGCTGCTCGGTGCATTGGAGCATGATCCCTGGTGAGGTGCTACCAGTAACACAGTCTACTTTGAACTCATCACCCTCCAGTTCAAAACTAACCAGATGCAAGTAATCTTTTTGTATGCAGGGATTTTAGGAAAATGCTTAATGAAAATAAAAAATAAGTTTGACGTTTGTTCAGATTGACAGTGGGGATATTTCATGTTCTGGAAATATCAGCATCGCTCGATTTTCTAAAAAAAAATAACCAAAAAACAAAAGTCCCATATGTGTAACTGGAATGTAGCTGATATATGCTACGT